GGTTAAGAAAAACCTGTGACCATTATGTGTAGGCTGAGAATAAGGTCCCATACATCCATGTGAATTAAAATAAAAGGTGTAAAGCTCTAGTATGGCTTGCTGTGAATGGATTCTATTTGCTTGGCAAGAGGACAAATATGACAATCAAAAGCATGATTTCCTTAACAAAAGCATGTTTGATTGCAGAATAATATTTGAGTTTAGACATAGGTACATGTCCCAAGCGTTTGTGCCACAACTAGAAGAAAAGCATGCACTGCTTGGTATTATTCGAAACTGGAAAACTTGGAATAACAGCATGAGAGACATCATTAGTTGAGATGAGCTATGAGAGACTTCATTGGGTGAAAATGATCTTAATGAGCTAATTCTGATGGTGATTGTGGACAACAAAAAGTAGAGGCCCTTAGTTTATTTACCAATCCCCTTCACTGCCATTTAGAGGTCCTGAATTCACAAAAATCAGGAAAAAAAAGACACAGAACAAGATAAGTCCTTAGTGAGCTTGGCAATGGAGATCAGTTAAACTTGAAATCAGGAACATAAAGAACATTGTTGATTTTCTGAGTGGGACTGAGAAAACAAGAGCCTATTGAGAAACTTCTTATACTGACCATTTGGGAGTCTAACTGATGGAGAGACAACAGGAGAAATCAAATCAACTAACTGCTCAACACAGTGTGTCATGTGATGGCTAGCACCGATACCAAGATCCAAGATTGCTTAACATTATATACCTACCAGTTAGCTTAATATCAGTCAAAGGAGAAGATGACATGTCCCTATGCAGCAGCTTCAAGATCTCAGCATACTGCACTTTTGTAAAAAGAGTGATGACTTTGACTTAGATGAATCTGGTGTTGAAGAGATTGCATTGGTGTGAGTATCTGCCTGATCAGAGAAAATAACATTGTGAGCAGCAGATGATGGTTGATATGTCCTTTCTCTTAGTGAACTTAAAATCAGGTGGATATCCAATCAACCGGTAGCAATTCTCCTTCTTGTGTCCTTTGACATTACAATGCTACACATACCAAATTCCAGTTTTTTTTGGACTTGGTTGATTGATGTGAAGATGAAAACAATACAGTGGATTCTAAAGGTGTATCAGCTGGTGAATGAGTGTTGATATTCCTCTGACTTTCTTCAGTAATTAACATAGAGTAAGCTTGATTAATTGATGGTAAAGGTGTCATCATCAGAATTTGTCCCGGGCTTGAATGTATGTCTCATTCAATCCCATCAGAAACTGGGGTAGTTTCTGATTTTGCATGTGATCTACATATGATTTGGACATGGCACAGTCACATGAAGGTAGTTGGATGATGGAAGAGTATTCATCCCATAGTAATTTCAATGAGTAAAATATGGTGATATTGTTAAACTGCCTTGGGTAGAGTACAAAGTCTCTGTGCAATTGAAAAATTCTGAGCCATGACTTTATCAAAATGCTTGTAAATCCTTCCAGACTAAAGAGCATTAGATGCATACACAATACCACTTAGCAACTCCTTAGTTACAGAATTCATGATCCAAGACAATACAATGGCATTACACCTATCCCATGTTGATGCATGCTTACGGAAACTGAAGTTCTGGTACATGATCCATCTATAAATCCTAGTTTGTTTTTTGCTAATAAAGCTATCTCATTGACAACTCCAAAGAGAGTAATTATCCACACCAGTTAATTGAAAAGATACAAGGATTGAACTGGTGTATCAAAAGGATGCAGGAACAGAGGATTATTGAAATCAATCGTATCCTCCTTTTGATAGCTTTCCTCCTGACCTACGCATGTTCTGATCTTCAGTTGAGCATTTCCTCAGTTGCATGAGTTTTATTTGAAGAAAGTTATCAAGAATCAAAGATTGGGATTCACTTAGGTTAATGAATCAGAAAAAAAAAAAAAAACAACCTCCAGAAACGTGAATCGAATGGATTAAGATTGATTCCTGATTGATTGAGAAGAAAGTAGATTGAAATTGTGATGATTTGAAGAGTTGATTTGAGATGATTTGAAAGGTTGAAGAATCAAGTATTTTGGCCCCTTATCGAAGCCTGATACCATGTTGAGATTTGAGAGAAAAACGACGTTAACAAATTGAAGAGAAGAAATATTTTCTCATATATGATCACGTGAATCTGTATAGATTATATATATATACATGCATTGCTTTCTGTTACTCAGAAAAGTAACTAACTTACTAAACCAACTAATTCTAACAACCTTCCAACTAATTACGCCAACTCTGCCATTTACAATCTTGAGCTGACTAAACTGCCATGGCATTTATTCCGGCCAACTTGTCCTTCAACACATTTGAACTGGGTTTATGATTGCAATAATTTTTTCTTTCCGGATTTTTCTTATAAAGATATTATTCTTTTAATAGTCTGATTGAATTTCTTTGGTAGTTTTATTTGTTGAATCAACTTTACCAAGTAGATCTATAGTTGCATGTTTTGGATAACTATTTCAATGAAAGTTGATTGAGATCCTTCCAGTATTTTTGGCTGGTTCGGGAGATGGTTGCCGTGAAGTAATGGCTTTTGCTGGTGGTGGTTCCATGGGGCGAAAGGGAAAGGAATAAAGGAAATGCGGTGAGAAAGGAATAGAGGAAAGAACGGAGGCGGAGAAAATAAAAAAAGAGGGGTGGGGAATCACAATTTGAACCTTATGAATTTAATATAGTTATGACAACGATAGGATTTTTGAGGGTGGTTGGTCGTTTTAGAAACTCTTGGGGGAAAGTTTATCAAAAATCTCATAGTTACTCAGATACATAATAATCCAATGCAGTGATTATGTTTCTCCTTAATATGTTAGAAGAGACATATACTATACCAAATTCGATGTTTATAGTTTTAGAGTTCTATTTCTACATATCTTAAGTGGCAAAAGGATTTCTCTTTTATATGGTTCAAATGAGAGTTTCAGCCTACTAGATTATATAAGTTAATTTTTTTTAAAGCTGTATATTGGTTCAAAGATGTGTGGATCAAAATATTCTTAGGCTTTAGCAGTGAGATTAAATTTTTGATAATTTTCAAGCGTATGAGCTGTGGATTAATGGCAAAGCCATGGAATTTATGGATGAACAACTAGATGATACATCTTCATCATGTAAATTAATGCAATGCTTGTATACAGCTCTCTTATGTGTTCAAGAAAATCCAATTGATAAATCATCCATGCTGGAAATTTTTGCTATGCTCAAAACCGAAACCATAGATATGATGATTCAAAAGAAGTCTACTTTCTCTAAACGAAATGAGCAAAAAGAATCCGTGGTGCAGTTGGAAGGTCATCTAGGGAACACTTCATCAATTAATGATGTAACAATTTCAAAACTTGTTGCTAGATGAATTGTATCATGTAGTTTATGGATTGCTGATCCGAGTCCTAGAATTCTAGCAAGCTAGATAGAATTAATTCCTTGGCTGCAGTGTGGTTTATATTTATTAGTTGTAGTTTTGTATTGCCCTGTTCATCAATTAAAACATCAGTGTGCCTCTAAATTCTCAAATGACATTAACCTAAAAAGAAATCACATTAGTTGGGAAAATGGAAAAGCAGAGCATCATCGGATGGCCATTAAGCTCGTTTCTAAGAATTATGAACTTATTAGGGCCCAAGACCATTTGGGTTTATCAATTAAACATATATAGATTGTTAGTTTAATATTTCATTCTATGTCCAATAGAAAACTCATATTTGATCCATGTATTTAGCCCAATTAATAGGTTAAATAATTAGAAAGATAAAAAAATATTTCATTTATTAAATCCCTTTTATGCTCACATTATTTCAGTTTCTGTCACATCAAAATATTAAATAGTCCCTCAAATTTCGCCAAACCCGCTTCGATCTGTGTTGACCAGTTCCGATATCGTTTCGCACCGAGTCCATGGTCGAAATATTCGAAATATCGCCTCTAACATTGACGCAAAGATTGTCGGACCACTGCAATTACACAGGTGCTGCGTCATTTTGTGCCCATTTGTAATCTTGAAAAAGATGCTTGGTATGTGCCATTTTATACGAATACGATGCGATCAGGTCGTAAAGCTTGTGCCATTCTTGCCTCCATACTAAACCTGTGGAGCTTTTCAATACGACATCACGTTTTGCAACTTTGTGTCGTTTTAGTTTATTGCTATGCGGGACTACATCGTTTTATTAAAGTAGGAGTTCCCCTGCGCTGTTGGTGTCATTTTATTCAAGGAGGACTCCTCTTTGGGTCGTTTTATTCAAGTAGGAGTCCAAATATTAAATAGATATGACAGAAAAAAGGATTACATGACAGTATGTAAAAACAAAATCCAAATATTGAACAGAATGATAGACTGAAAAATTGCAAGAAAATTCCCTTAAGGACTAAATCTTTTGGGCAGGTTCTTCAGAGGTTGAAGTTTCTATCACGCATAAAATAGTCGCCGTACGTGTCGGCAACAAATACAACTGTGCTTTCCTGATATGTATATAAATGTAATTAACACAGAAGAGCTAATAGATAAGAAATTGGGTTCAAGCAGCTTTTCAAATGGTGCCCAAGATTATTATATTTGTTGTTTTCTATGCTTTCCTCCCTCTACAATTGTGCCCTTCAATAGCGCAAACTAATTGGATCAGGGTTGTTTATTACAAGTATTCCTCAAAATACAGATTCCCCATTTCCAAAATTAATTCTGCTCTCTTCACTCACATTGTGCTTATACTGTTGTGAATTCCACCTCCTACCAACTCTCTGTATCACCAGCTGATGAAGAAAGCTTGTCCATCTTTGCAAAAACTACGAAAAAATAACCCATCAGTCGCTATACTGCCATGTGTTGGTGGTAGCGGTGTAAGTTATTCAACCTTTTCTTCAATGGTAAGCGATTCTTCTTACAGAAAATCCTTCATCAATTCCTCGATAAAAGTAGCCAGACTTTACGGTTTACAAGGAATAGACTTCTATTTGAGTTATCCAGAGACAAACTCTGACGGGTTCAACATGGGAATACTCCTTCAAGAGTGGAGAGCTGCTATTGATTCAGAGGCAAGAAACTCTAACAACTCGAAACTGATCTTGACAGCACAGATTCCATATTCACCATCTGTTTCTTCAACAAGTTACCCTATTCAGACGATGCAAAAACATTTGGATTGGGTCCATGTTGTGTCTGAAGATTACACCACTCCTCTCAAGACAGTCCTTACAAGAGCTCATGCAGCTCTGTATGACCCAAGTAATTTACGCAACAGGGATGCTGGTATAAGAGAATGGATCGATCGAGGATTATCAGCTAATAAACTGGTTTTGAACTTGCCTTTCTATGGCTATTCATGGACGCTCGAGAATCCTGTGAACAATGGTGTTGGTGCACCAGCAACGGGACCTGCCATTTCAACGGACGGATACCTGACCTACAAGCAAATAAAATATTACATCAAGCAATATGCTCCTGACGTTCGTGTAAGGTACAACTCAACTTATGTGGTGAATTAGTGGACAGAGGGAACAACTTGGATTGGGTTTGATGATGTTGAGGCGGTTACAGCAAAGGTTTCTTATGCCAAGGAGAAGAAGCTGCTTGGCTACTTTGTGGGGGAAATCTCTTTGACTCTTTCGATGATAATTGGGTGCTTTCTAGAACTGCAGTTAAGTTATGATCAAAAGAAACAAATAATAAAAATGGACAAAATAATAAGAGGCCTTTGTTATTAATCCTTTTTCCTACAACAGCAGCTGTTTTACTTCTATTAGGAATATTTGTGATATTTTACCGCTGGAGGAGAGATCTCAAATTAAAAGGTAAGTTCTACAGTTTCTTTACAATAAATGAATAATAAGCAGTTTAATGTGTGTGTTATTATTATTATTTTCTCTCTCTCTCGGTTGACAGGGATGGAGGGCTCCACTAAAGAATCCGAAGATAAAGCAAATAAAGAGGCATCTGCTTTTAATGGAAATGTTCCCAGTCTGATCGAACATACATTGGGTGATATAGAGGCAGCAACCAATGGATTTTCAATTGAAAATAAGTTTGGACATGGTGGACATGGCCCTGTTTATAAGGTACCTTTAGTAAAGCTATATATTTATCATTAAATATTTAATCTTTAGCTTAATATTTTTGCCATGCTATAATTTTAATTTAACTTTGGAAGGAATAAAAAGTTCAAAGAATTAAATTTATCTATTGAAAGGTACCAACTAAAGTGTAATTTACTAGGGAATATTATCTGTTGGACAACCATAGTCTGTTGTCTTCAATTCGTCATATCTTATCCCCTTCTAGGAACTTCTAAATTTTGTATTTTGTCAAAGGGGTTTTTGCGTTTCGGCTAACTTTTTCCTCTTCCTCGCATTCAGATTTGGCATTTTGAGCAGAAGCCTTTGGGGATAGAAGTTTGAAGCACTGTACGTTTTATTTGCACCCAAATTCATTCATTATATTTCGATCGGCAATTTTTGGTATTTTAGATTTGTGGAAATTTTTT